GTAGAGTGAGAGCTATTGTAATAGGAAAAGCCAAGTAAAGCCCCTGGAACTGTGTCACCTCTGCCCCAACCAAGTAGTAAACCACAACAATGTTCAAAGGAAGATCACATTCACATGGGCAAGAACACAATTATACTTTTATAGTCTTGCTCCAGGGCTATGTTTATTTTCCTGCTTTCTGTCATAATACATTCCAAAGGGACCCAGGCCATCTGGCCATTCCACAGAACATCACATTAGTCCATCATAGTGAAATACCATGTTGCTTGGACCTGACAAGCAAGAAATGCAAGTAACCTGGATGTCTTGATGAGATACAAGCTTTTCAGAGGGTGAATAAACCCCATAAAAATTCAGAAGACTGCTACACTGATGAAAAATTTAAATGGCAATTGTTAGTTTTAAAATTTTGAGATAATTTTAGATTGACAGAAGAGATGCAAGAACACGGATTTCTGCAAGCATTTTACCCAGCTTGCCTTTATATTAACATCTAATATAAGCATAGAACATATATCAAAACTAAGAAAATAACCTTGTTGCTGGCCTGTGCTTCAGTCATTTCTCATTCTTTGCGATCCTATGGACTGTAGCCCAGCAAGATCCTCTGTCTATGAAATTCTCCAGGCAAGAATACTGGAGTGGATTGCCATGCCCTCCAGGACATCTTTCTGACCCAGGGATCAAACCCGCATCTCTTATATCTCCTGCATTGGCAGGTGGGTTCTTTACCACTAGCACCACTGGGGGAAGCCCAGCCTTGGTACAGTACTATTCTCTAGAGCACAGACTTTATGTGGATGGTGAAGAGGTCCAATGGTCAAAGGCATGCCAGAGATTTTTCTCCACAGTAAAGGACAACTTACCTTCTACCACTAAGAAAGAGTGCTTGGTAGATCTCTTCAGGTTAAGGTGGAAGGTTTCTAGTTTTAAGAAGGGCTCAGATCCATAAAGGACTCAATAGCAGGTCCAGCCTCATTACAAGCAGTCCTGCGATTTGTGCTCTATCACTTGACACATCTCATGATACTAGAAGTATCTGTGGTAGAGAAAAGGCCAACTGGAGTGTCTGGCAAGACCCAAAAGAAGAGACACAGTGCAGCCCATTACAGTTCTGGAGAATGGCTGAACCAACTGGGAGAGAGAAACATACACATTTGAAAAGCATCTACTCTAGTGGTTCAACGATTAGACTTGGCGCTGGATGGGCTGGGACTGGGGGGTGGGGAAGGGCAGATGCCTGTCCAAAGGCCTACTCCCCCTCTGACAATTAGGGGCTAACAGTTTTACAGACAGGGAATTCCCTGGTAGCTCAGTGGATAAATAATCTGCCTGCAGTGCAGAAGCCTCAGATTCAATCCCTGGGTCGGGAAGATCCCCTGGAGAAGGAATTGGCAACCCACTCCAGTATTCTTGCCAGGAAATCCCTAAAGACAGAGGAGCCTGGTGGGCTACAGCCCATGGGGTCGCAAGAGTTGGACATGACTTAGCAACTAAATCACCACCAGTTTTATAGACCTACAGATGGGGAGTGAGGTGAGCGGGGTGTATATGCAGAAACAGCATAGTCAGCTCTGACAGCTATTTGAACTTGATCACTGGTGGTCTGACCAACATCACCTTGATTAAGTACAATTAATCTTTAGTTCCAGGGTTGGTTTGTTCCCAGTTCCTTGAGGCCAGTTCTCAGAATTGTGGCAGCTTATGTCATGGCTACAGCCTGGCCATCATGTAGTTAACTTCTTCCACCTGGTAGGGGTTTCAGTATCTATAAAACAGCTCATAGGATATGGCTCAGAATATTATCTATAGCCCTTAAGAAGGAAATAAATATCCTTGACTTTGCATAATGACTAACCTATTATTATTTGGTCTTCTTTGGTTGTTTTTCTTTGTTTCTGCATTTTCCTCACTTTTCTGATTAATCTTATTATTTGGCTAAAGTTTTTCCACAGACAAAAGGCAGGTGAAAGTTATGGTGAGGAAGGACCACAGAGTCCTGCTCCATTTCAAAGGGGGGATAGGAGGGTCTTTGGGTATTTATAACAAGCCTCTCTGAGCCTGTGTTTAAGCTAATGAATTGACTCTGGGAAGAGGGAAGCTGGTTGCCAGAGGAACAAACCCTGAGATTAGAGGCTTGAAACTTCAACTCCACCCTTCAACCTCAAGGGCAGGGACTGAGTTAATCATTACTGTCAGTGATTTTATTAATTATGCCAAGATTGAAAGCAGGAGAAGAAGGGGATGACAGAAGATGAGAAGGTTGGATGGATATGAATGTGAGTAAACTCCGGGAGTTGGTGATGGACAGGGAGGCCAGGCGTGCTGCAGTCCATGGGGTCGCAGAGTCAGACACGACTGAGTGACTGAACTGAACGGAATGAAATCTCCATTAAAAAAACACAACAGAGTTTCTGAGAGCTCCCTGGTTCGCGTGAACAGCGGGGTGCTGGGAGGGTGACACACCCAGAGGGGGAATGAAAACTGAGTCCCCTCTCCACAACCCAGACCTTGCCCTATGCCTCTCTTCCATTTGACTGTTCCTGAGTTGTATCCTTTAGAATAAGCCAGTAGACCGATGTAAAGCGTTCTCCTGAGTTCTGTGTTCTGTTCTAGAAAACTGGACCCTGAGCAGGGTATTGTGGGATGCCCTGACTTACAGCCAGTTTGTCAGAAGTACCCAAGGTCTAGACTTCCCACTGGCATCTGAAGTAGGGAGCAGAGTTGCAGAACTAAGCCCTGAACCTCTGGGGTCTGCACTGCTTTGGAGTAGTGAGTGTCAAAACTGAATTATCTTGCAGGACACTCAGTGGGTGTCCACAGAGCATTGGAGAATATCTTGATGTGGAAAAGCCACACATGTGGTAAACAAGAGCTAATGCCTTTAGGCTCCACAGTTTTGACCCTTTCCTTCAGGTTCTACAGTTACATTCCTCAAAAACTCCTAAGGCTAGGGAAGTGAGATAGGGAAGAAACCAGGATGATTCATCTAGTCAGTTAATGTTCTGACTTGATGTCAGAAGTCAGTTCTTCATCAGTTGGCACTTTTTATTCTAGGATTTACAGAGATGCAAAGATAAACTATTATATAATCCCTTCTTTCAAAAATCCATCTCCAAGGCTTTCAGGATTGTCCCCCCGGCCTCTGATAACAACAAATTTAAAAACTTGTAGGGATGAGGGGAGGAGGTAAGACTTTAGATAATTTTTTTTTTCTAGCAATCTTATATTTAAAAAAAATGAGGCTTAAGGTCACAGGGGTAATAGATAGAGTGGGCTTTTGTACTGGTGTTTCACTCTGTTGTTTAATCTTCATTTTCTAACACAATTTCAGCATTTGAAATATTTCAATATTTCTGAATAAAACTGGAGAGTTTGTGAAGCTGATTTTAGAAAACGAACATGGAAACTTGATTCACAGAGAGTTTGGAGTATAATTTTTTGTTTGTTTGGGGCATCCTGTGGCTTGTGGGATCTTAGTTCTCTGACCAGGGATCAAACCCAGGCCTCAGCAGTGAGAGAACAAAGTCCTGACCACTGGTCCACCAGGGAACTCCAATGGAGTATAATTTAGCTATATTGAAGCTACGCATCCCAAACTGAGATGTTCATTATTGTTACGCTAGACATTTTGTGAGGACAGGAATTCTGTATTTTGAAAAAAATTTCTTTCCCCTCTGTACCCTGATGAATAAATGAACAAAACACATAAACATAGGTAAAGTGGCTAAGTGTGTGATGGGTAGCTAAATTTATTCTTTTTAGGATTTTAAATCAGTGAATCTTTGTTGAAAACCAGCAGGAGGAAGGCACTGTGCAGGAAATGAAAAAAGGCCTAACTGCAGCCCCCCCACCATCGTGGAGACATTTTGTGAGGACAGGAATTCTGTATTTTGAAAAAAATTTCTTTCCCCTCTGTACCCTGATGAATAAATGAACAAAACACATAAACATAGGTAAAGTGGCTAAGTGTGTGATGGGTAGCTAAATTTATTCTTTTTAGGATTTTAAATCAGTGAATCTTTGTTGAAAACCAGCAGGAGGAAGGCACTGTGCAGGAAATGAAAAAAGGCCTAACTGCAGCCCCCCCACCATCATGGAGCTTTAGAGTTTAGTAGGTTAAAGAACATATGTCCCAGGACAGAAAGTGGCAGTGAAAGCCTTCTGAGAGGGATGCTCAGAGGAGGTAAAGTTTTCCTCTGATTGGGAAAACTTCATGCTAGGGAGAGCTTGGTGCTGCGCGTCAAGAACCTGAATTCTAGGACTGGTTCTATTACTGATCTGCCTCTGTAGGTTAGGCTTTGTGGACAAAGAATATCACCAGCCATATCAGTGAAGACAGGATGTTGTGGCCATCAGCCACTCCCCCCGCCCCGCCCCAGATAGTTAAGGTGCCTATCAGAGGAACTATTTCAGTGAACCCAGACTCTTGCTTCTTCCCATAGATAGAAAAGTGCTAACTTCATTAATTTAAGCTGTCTGGCTTTTAATTAACAGTCATCTTTTAATATTCCCACTACCTAGTTTTTGTTGCAAAAGTTCCTAAATATCCTGGCTTCTCCCTTATCTCTCTGAACAGCCCCTCAGAGCGATATGAGAGGCTGCCTCCTGGGCTTAAGCCCTCAGTATGTTCCTCCAGGAAAACTCAGTTCTCAATTTTTAGGTCATATATTTTCCCACAGTACACAGTTTATAAATAAAGCTCCCCAGATTTCTATTGTCACTCTGAAACTCTAGGGGTTAGAGGGACAATGACCTTCAGATTTCCTATTTCTTATTGCTACTCGCCCCTACACCCCCTCGCTCTCTATGTCCCTCTTCTTCTGGAGGCCAGATGGAGAAATGAAAGTGGTCCCTTTAAGGGAGCCCTCAGTGTCTGGCCCCGGGGAGCCCCAAGCCGGGGGCAGGGGCGGGGCTCCGGGGACCCGGGCTTCCCACGCAGCCGGGGACGCCGCTGCGTCATGGCGCTCACAGCCAATCAGGATGAAGCCTGCCTGGACGCATTACTAGGGCGACGGGCCCGACGCCTGCTTCGGGATGAATTAGCGGCGGGTTCTGCACCCAGGTTGTGACCCCCACGGATTCTGAAGCTCACCCACGCGGTCTCCACTGCGTCGCGCGTAGTCCTCTGCTGGCCACAGGTGAGAAGCTGGAACCGTCAGGTGGGGGTTCCGGCGCCGGGAAGATGGCGGCGGTGGCCGGGGGATCCCCGGTTGGCGGAGGGGGAGCGGTCCCATGGGCTCTTCCCTAGACAGCGGGCCTCCCTGGGATGCGGCCCCCTGTAACGGTCACTTAACGGGGAATTGGAGTCCGGATGCGGGTGGCGGTGCCACCGGCTTAGGTGAGAGGAGGTGTGGGGAAGCGATTCCTGGAGGCTAGCGGAGGCGTCGGGGGCCACGGAGTCGCTCGGCCGGCTCGATGGGCCGCTTTGCTCGGTGTTTACAGAGAGAGAGCTCCAACACGTCCCTGCTACAGACTTGGGCGGGTCCAGGAGCTGCACCGCTGCGAACACAGTCCAGCCTGTCACTGTTAAATCGGATGTGCAGAAGGTCCCAAGTGGCCGCCACGTGCGAGGCTTAGATGTGAGCTGGAGAGGGCAGGGGCTGGAACTGGTTTATCTGTGTATCCTCCAGGGGCCTGTCTGTAGGTGACAGAATGGCAGTGCCACGAAAAGGGTAGGCCCTAACGAGGGGCTGATGTCAAGTCCGATCTTTAAGGCGAGTGTCTGAGCTCCTGCTTCTCCATTGGAAGAGAAGAAGTAAAAAGTTCGGGGGCTTAGGTGTTGGGGAGACATTCTTCCTCCTTGTACTTTCTCGGTTCAGGTGGGTTCCCTGGGGCCATTGCCCCTGCCTTCGAAGTTCTTTAGCTCTATCCCACGTGCACGTGGATGCATGTACAATTGAGGATTTGTTGCCAAAATCTTGGCTGTCTGTGCACCAAAGCCAAACAGAAATAGGGAGACAGTTATGGAGAAGAAAGAAAGGATGGCTTTATTATTTTGCCAGGAGGCAAAGCAGGAGCACAGTAGGCTAGCAGGAGAGGTTATACAGTCAGGCAGCAATATGTGATAAGGATCAAGGCAGTAACAGTCATGTATTTACTTCTGATAAGTTTCAGAAGGGCGGGTGGGGGATTTGCTAACAAGATGAGGGTGTGTACAGGGTCTCAGCAAGTTAGTCTCCTAATCTGGATGAGCCTCTCTGTTCCCTTTAATCTTTGCCTCAGGTAGTTTCCCTTGCTGTTCCTCCTGCCCTTTGGAACTCAGAGAAGGTCATGGGAGACCAGAGTCTTGCCTACAAGGAGTGGGAAACAAAAAGGCCTCCATGCCCAGGGAGCCCCACAGGGCCCTGCTCAGTGTCAGACTGACATTCAGTTTAAGCTCAGGAATGTAATAAAGATAGACTATCTGTGCAGGTCTTACAGAAATGAAATTTTGTCCATTCCTGTCAGTCCCTTATTTGAGCAAAGACTTGTCATGATATATGAGGAAGCACAAATAATTAATTGAAGAAGGTTTTAAGTTTTTATTAAACTCTTCAAAAGAATACTTTGCCAGATGACTTTTACAACATAATTTGTGTTAGGTATTAAGATTCATTGCTTTGATGTATTTTTCTAGTTTCTATTTATAATAAAAAGGTAACACTGGTTCTTTCATTAAGCCTGCTGTGGAACTGCCCTGCCAAGTCTTTGGGATATAAAGATTAATTGCTGATCCTGAGTGAGACAAAGAAGTTTGATTCACTAATGCAGGTGATAAGGACTCCAGTATAGTTGTGGTGGGTACAGAGAGCTGCAGGAATGCACACCAGGTAACCGTCACTTCTGTGGTCCTGTGCAAGAAAGAAAGGGAGCTGATTGCAAGGTAGAGGGGGAAAGAGCTTTAGGCAAAGGAGAAGGCAGTGCCAAGTTAGGTTGGGTTAGTTTTAAAAAAAACTGTCTTGATGAAAGTCCTTTTTACAAAACTGTTGTATCTTTTGAGAGTAAAAGAAAAATATTAATTTAATTTTTCCCCGTGTTTTTAAAAAAGCTTCTATTGTACATTGCATGAAATATACTTTCATGTGACAGAAAAGCAGGTTAAGTGATTTTTGGTTTTGGTAACAGTCTTGGTTTGGTGGAGTGCCTTGTTCCGTTATTGAGAGAGCACAGTGGCACTTTTTATTTGTTATCTTTGGAGTGCCTGCTGTGCATCAGGCACTGTGAAAATGAGGCGTCTTCCTTGTTCTAATTTGAGCAAATGATGGTCCATTTCTTCCCACCAGGTGCTTAGTCAGGCTGTTGATGTTGCTGAGGACCAAGGGTAAACAATGGGGAAAAACCCAAAAAAGACTTTCTTCCACACTGCATCTGTGGAGATTTGGTGTTGGGCTGGAGTTAGGCACAGTTTCTACTCTGCCACTGAAAATATCTTAGGGAAATCATTATTTCCTTATTACGTTATCTTTGACATGGACAACGCGTTTCTCCTCTAAGCAATATCTCTGTGTTGTTGTCAGGAGAAAAAAAAAAGTATAGGTAAAAGGACTTAAAAAGGTTAAAAGCACTGTGATGACAGTTAACATAGAAACTGTTTCAGGAGCCTTATATGGGCTCACTCACTCAGCAACATTGTGAAGTGAGTACTTTATCATCTTTGTTTTACAGATGAGGAAACTGAGACACATTGAACTTTTAAGTTATTTTCCCCAAATTTCACTACTAGTGTCATGGTGCCAAGCTGTGTTCTTAGCCACTGGGCATACTATCTTCTGTAACATGCAGATGTTAATGTGTTAAGGGGATATATATGAACAGGCTTTCAATGAAGTAATTTTGTGTGTGGTCTTTTAGTTGTGTAAATAATGACTGATTCATTCCATTGGCATCCAGTAGTGATTTATATGGTGATGACATGACTACAGTTACTTTGGTTAAGTGATATAGTCATCCCACCTTTGATGTCCATTATAGTATTTTAAAACAGGATTGTTACTGATTTCTAAGAGGAAGCACAAATCAATAATTGAAGAAGGTTTTGGTTTTTATTAAACTCTTTTGAATACTTTGCCAGGTGACTTTTACAACATAATTTGTGTTAGGTGTTAAGATTCATTGCTTGTATGACAAAAACTAATGTAATGATGTAATGTAATTAGCCTCCAACGAATAAAAATAAATGGAAAAAAAAAAAGATTCATTGCTTTGATGTATTATTCTAGTCTCTGTTTATTAAAAAAAGGTAACATGAATAAAAGTGGCTGGGATATTCATTCTTTCATTGAGCCTTCATGGAATTGCCCTGCCAAGCCCTTGGGACATAAAGATTAATTGCTGATCCTGAGTGAGACAAAGAAGTTTGATTCACTAATGCAGGTAGTAAGGACTCCAGTATTGTTGTGGTGGGTACAGAGAGCTGCAGGAATGCACACCAGCTAACAGTCACTTCTGCTGTGGTCCTGTGCAAGAAAGAAGGGGAGCTGATTGCAAGGTAGAGGGGGAAAGAGCTTTAGGCAAAGGAGGAGGCAGTGTCAAATTGGGTTGAGAGGGCATGAGTGCCCAGTAGTCAGGCCAGAGTTTTGCAAAAGTTGGTGAGAAAGAAGCCAGGAAAGGTCAGAGCCAGATTATGAATTCTCAGCTGAGAGAGTGATTTTATCCTGTGGGCAGTGGGACCTATAGAAGGATGAGTAACATGACCAACTTTATGCTCTGTAAAGGGAACTTTGGTGATGCTAGGGTCAAAGACAGAATGTAAGGAAGAAACCAGTTAAGGGCAGGTTCCGTACTCCTGACCCGAGACGGTGAGGGAGTGAGGCAGGGCGTTAACTGTGACAGCAAAGTTCAGAGTCCACCGCACACTTCGTGAGGGCAGAATGGAAGATGGCTGGGTGTGAAGAATAGTGGGGTGTGGAGGGGAGCACCTGCTGAGGGAGTGAAGGTGTTATATTTGGGGTGTTTTGGGTAACCATATGCTTAGAGCTCGGAAATACTGTTAAAAATTTTAGGGAAAAGGATGGAGCAAGGAGTTCTTTGTTACTGGGTTTTGGGAAGCCTGTAAACCCTCTGAGGTGCTGGGTTACATAAAGTGTAACAGAACCAGGTTTAACAGAAGCCTCTAGGCTTCTGATTTCTGAGATTACAGAACTTTTAATTATATCCTTGAAGACAGTAGGGTCTAGTGTAAAGTGACCCATTGAAGGAAAGCCACTCAAAGGGAATGGGAAGAAGGTATGGTTGAAGTAAAATATTAGAATAACAAGTGTTAGAGGATGTTCCCCCCCTTTTTTTAACATTATGTTTTAATATATTGGTACAGAAGTCATATTACGAATGTAGTCACAAATGAATTCTCTAGTTGTAAAACTGACAGCTGCTCAAACTTCCATGATACTAGAGTTGTCTTATCACCAACAACATAACATGAATGCATTTGAAATCAGCCACGTGGTGAAACTGTAAGCCTTGCAAAAGTGCAGGAATTCGTGAATTCAGAGCAAGGCCAAGAGCTGTTCAAACCGTAAGCAGAAATCAGGAATCAAAGAACTACTGAGTAGAGCAGGCATGCATTTCTTTAAAAAGACTTAAGTCAATGACTGTAACAATGATTGACACATTTGACTTCAGACTTTGTTAAAATTGAGAATTTTTCTCCATCTAAAGATAACATTAAAGCTGTGGTACATATACACCATGGAATATTACTCAGCCATTAAAAAGAATTCATTTGAATCAGTTCTAATGAGATGGATGAAACTGGAGCCCATTATACAGAGCGAAGTAAGCCAGAAAGATAAAGACCATTACAGTATACTAACACATATATATGGACTTTAGAAAGATGGTAACGATAACCCTATATGCAAAACAGAAAAAGAGACTCAGATGTATGGAACAGACTTGTGGACTCTGGGAGAAAGCGAGGGTGGGATGTTTCAGGAGAACAGCATTGAAACATGTTATTATCTAGGGTGAAACAGATCACCAGCCTAGGTTGGGTGCATGAGACAAGTGCTCGGGCCTGGTGCACTGGGAAGACCCAGAGGGATCGGGTGGAGAGGGAGGTGGGAGGGGGGACTGGGATGGGGAGTACATGTAAATCCATGGCTAATTTATATCAATGTATAACAAAAACTACTGTAATGATGTAAAGTAATTAGCCTCC